CAGGTAAATAAAGTTTACTGTGTAGGTATTATCTCTATTACTTGTATAATATATTTTGTGGATCTGTTTTTCCTTTTTTTCACAACCCTTAGTAGGCTTGTCCCCCTTTTCCTTGATTACAAAGAAACACTTGCTTAGAAGAGTGATTGCTCATCTTCTCTGGTCTTGTTTATTTCTCTTAAGATCATTGATTACTCTTGAAACAAGGTTTCATTTACATCATAGTCACCTTAGCTTTAGTACGCTAATATTAATTCTTTGATATTGAATGTTGGATCTTGTAGAGGTTTAGTACAATTGCTGATGATATTTCTGATGCATTACCCTTTTATTGCTGCTTGTAGAGATTCGAGCACACTATGAGAGCTATTCAAGGATCGTTGATAGTGTCTTCCTTTATCAACATAATACTTGGATACGGCCAAGCCTGGGGAAATCTTACAAGGTAAGTTGTGTTTCTGCTTCTAAATGCTTATTACAAATACCATTAGTTCTGTCTTAGATTCTTGGAATTGTCTTTCTGTCTTTGGATTGTCTTCTAGTTGTGTTTCATCATTTTATTACTTTCTGTGATGGAGGAATCACATGCCCTTCTTTTTGCCTACAGGTTTTTCAGTCCTATTGTCATTACACCACTTGTCTGTGTTGTAGGTCTTGGTTTGTTTGGTAGGGGCTTTCCTCAGGTAATATCCTGAATTCTTAAAAGCTTCGTTGGTTGAGAGCTGCATAAACGTCATCCAGTTTTATTTGTGATCCTATGATTTGATCAGGTGGGTGATTGTATAGAGATTGGCCTACCCATGTTAATTCTACTTGTCATTTCCCAGCAGGTAATATATTATTCATTGACTAGTTTTTCTAGTGGCAATCCTTTCAACTTACTATAAGATTGTAATGTTTGTCAATTCATTTGCAGTATATGCAACGTGTTCATCCAGTTGCCCAATCTATACTTGAAAGGTTTGCTTTGCTCTTGTGCATTGGGCTTATCTGGGCTTTTGCTGCTATTCTTACTGTTGCCGGTGCTTACAACCATGTGAAGGAGCGAACTGAGCTTAGCTGCCGAATTGACCGTTCGTTCCTCTTGCAATCGGCTCCATGGTACTCAGCTAGATACAATAATGACAATGTCTTCAGCTTCTATCTTCTGCTGACGTGTATATTTGGTTGCCTGTAGGATCAAAGTCCCTTACCCTTTCCAGTGGGGGACTCCCATATTCAGAGCTAGCAGTGTTTTTGGAATGATGGGTGCTGCACTTGTCTCAGCAGCAGAGGTTCACTTGCCATTTTGATTAAATTTAATCCCCCGCCAAGTCTTTGAATTAAATTTTTCTTTTAGAAGCATGAGTTTTAGTATAGGAGTTGTCATTATGATTCTTTGGTACTTACCGCTGATGTTTGTTTTCAGTCAACAGGAACTTTTTATGCTGCATCAAGACTTGCAGGGGCGACACCCCCGCCGGCACATGTAGTGAGTAGAAGCATCGGCCTACAGGTGCTACATCCACTAAGTGATTCAGCAATGCCTTTTTACTATTTAATTTAGTACAGTTTTTCTTCTGCTTTAGGCCTCAAATAAATTTTTTAGCATCAGAGTGGTTCATTGTGCTCTGCTTCTTGTCCAGGGTCTGGGACAGCTCTTCGATGGGTTCTTTGGTGCTGTTGTTGGCACTACTGCATCTGTGTAAGGGTTATTTTCTCTCCTGATTTAACACAAAGCACGTTCTAGTTCTTGATAGATTTTCTTCATAGATTCTTGGCCTTTGCTAATTTTAATCTTGGGCCTTGCAAAACCATTTTGAGTGGTTGTTATTAATTCAGCCAAAAAAAGTGATCTAATAAGATTAAAAGAAGTAAAAATATCTGTCCAGAAGTACCATCTGAGGGATAGATATTTCCTTCAATGATACTTTTTTCGGTTTAATGTTGTGGCATTCATGCCTAATTTATGGATGATACAATACTGCAGCGAAAATGTCGGCCTTCTTGGACTAACCCGTGTTGGGAGTAGAAGAGTTGTTCAGATTTCTACTGCTTTCATGATCTTCTTCTCTATATTTGGTTTGGCTCTTTCTCTCCCTCTTTCCCCCACCCTGCCCCTTGCTTTCTTCATCCCAAAGTATGTTTTCCAACTAACAATACTAACGTAAGTTATTACCGTCCAGGAAAATTTGGAGCATTCTTTGCTTCAATTCCTTTGCCCATATTTGCAGCTATCTACTGCATTTTGTATGGTATAGTTGGTGAGTGTTTTTTCCCCTTAGCTTTTTAATCTATTTTAGTCTTATTAACAGTAACTTGAGAAGTAAAATTTTTTTGCAGCTGCTATTGGTGTTTCCTTCATCCAATTCGCTAACAAAAACTCCATGCGAAATATTTACGTGCTCGGAATCTCTCTATTCCTTGGTATATCTATACCCCAATACTTTGTTATGAACACAGATATTGCTGGTCATGGACCTGTTAGAACTCCAGCTGGTTGGGTAAGAAACATAACTTCACACCATCCCTTGTTATGATACGTTGATATGCTATTGAAAATGGATTTAGTTATGTTCACTCATTTTTGCCTATAATAGCAGTTCAATTATCATCTTTACTAGATCAGGAATTAGAAGAAGAGCCTTGGCGTAACTGGTAAAGTTGTTGCCATGTGACCAGGAGGCCACGGGTTCGAGCCGTGGAAACCGCATCTTGCAGCAATGCAGGGTAAGGCAGCGTACAATAGACCATTGGGGTCCGGCTCTTTTCTGGACCCCGCGCATAACGGGAGCTTAATTCACCGGGCTATCTTTACTAGATTAGGAGTTAATGCTTATAAAAGATGTACTTGTAATTACCTTATAAGCAACCTAATTGTATAGACATCTTACACCGTCGATGTGTAGAACGTTAACTCATTGATGGCGGAAACTTAAACTTCTCCCTTGTTTCTTGCAGTTCAATGACATATTGAACACGATCTTCTCTTCACCTCCTACTGTCGCAACAATTGTCGGGACGTTCGTAGACAATACGCTCGAAGCGAGACACTCGGTTGATGATAGAGGTGTTCCTTGGTTGGTTCCTTTCCAGAGGAGAAAGGGAGATAGCAGAAATGATGAGTTTTATAGTTACCCTCTTAGAATTAATGAGTACATCCCAAGTAGGTTTCTGTGATATAAACTTATACATCCATGTATATGACTGTATCAAGGTGTATGACAAATTTTCTTTTTAGTTCACAACTTTGCCCTTTTTCTTTTCGTTTCAATTCTTCTCACATGAAATCTGTAAACATCATACATTTTGAGGTCCTGCAAGTTTTGATGATTCATATAGCCAATAGGATGGCATGGCATTCACCACCTTCTGTTTATATTTCTCAAGTTATATAAGTAACGTTGTTAAAAAATATATGCACTGTCAGTGTATTTTAACTTGTTGCAGTAGATCACCTACCTCGATTTTCATAGTACTGTTCGGGGAGTCGATGAGCTAATTTTTATATATGCATACTACTATACTTGCCAGGTTGTCCATTTTTAATACAATTTAGTAGGCGTTTGGACATAAGAATTGTAAAATTTTCAAGTGAAAATGATATTTGAAATTTAGAGTTGTGTTTGGACATAAATTTCAGTTTGGGTTGTTTTTGAAGGTTTTAACACACATCAGTGAAAATTTTGAAAAATAATCTTTTGCAGTTTTTCAAATTTTCGAAAATTTCCAAAATGTATCTTCAAGTGAAATTGAAATTTTATGAATAAACATTGATTTTAAAAAAAAAAAAGTGAATTTTTTTTGAAAAAATCTTCATCAAAGACTCGATAAGCTAATTCCATATTTGACAAATTGTCACATAAACCAAAAGCGATAATAAATGCTATAACAAACTTAGTGAAAAAATATCTCGGAAATCTAGGAATTCGATTTAAGAAAAGGATGTCGCAAAAGAGTGGTCATCAAAAATGACATTTGCGTTCAATGTTTATGGGTCAAGATTCGAGAAATTTGTTGAAAGCAATATGTCGGATGTAAACACTACCAAATTTTGGTGGAAAATTATCAAATACTTTGAACAAATCTCACTTCTTTCCCAATCATCTGAAGGATGAAGCTGAAGAAAAACTAGCAAAGTGTGACTTACTAATTCCGTGTTTGGTTCCACGAACTTCATATTAAATATTGTCTTTTACTTTCACAGTTTCAGTGATAATGATAAGTAGAGGGGTCCACACGTTTACTTCATTTTTCATTTTTTTGGTTCATGAATCCGTACAGAGTTGATTATGACTCTCAAGAATTCATTGGCGTCAATGATCTTTTTAGCTATACTTTTCACTGATAGCACTCAATTGATTCATGTTTAGCTTTTTGCCATCAGTTTGTTCATTGCTGCAGTCCTCTCTTTCCTCATAAACAAAACTGTGACCGTTTATTCAGAATTAGACTCTATGCGTTATCCCTAAGTTGGGAGAGTGAATTCTAATATATCTAACTCTATCTAAATGTAAGTACTTATGTAATGTGTGTGTGTGTTGATGAGCTTCTCACTTGCTTTTATCTGCTTAGCAAAATTTCATTTTCTTTGGCAGAAGAAAAACCAGTAAATTTATGGCTTTCCGGGAAAGTGGAAATGACCATGTACTAAAACTGTAAAGGGCACTATTATATAGATCTTCTTTTTGGATCGAACAAAGATAACTGTCATAAATGTGGACTTACCTAGTTACTACACCGAGTTTGACTTATATACACTAATAAAGCAAAAAAAAAAGATATTACACTCTTCACGTATTAAAACTTGTTATAGAAAGTAACCTGCCTTATAACCTAACTTCTTATAGACGGTTACATGTAGTTATCTTGTTTCCAATGTTATAGCATAATATAGGCAAAGATCAACTATTGAGATGTAGTCCATCTATTTATTTGCATATCAATATATAGTATTTACACAAGAGAACCCCCAATTAAAGGGGAAAATTACAGGACTGGAAAATGAACTGCAAAACTGACTACTGAGGAAGTCGCTCAAGAATAGAGCACTTCTCAGCAACCTGCAGATACACACCCGACACAGTCCTCATCGTGCTTCTACTAGAAGAAGCAAAAAAAAAAAAAAAAAAAA